GGAACCTCCATAGTGTTTTCCACAGTGGCTGCACCAGTTTGCATCCCTATCAACAATGTCAACCAATGTCTTTTAACATTCTCTTTAGGTGCAGCTGTTTGGCTCAGTTGGTCACATGTCCGACTTTGGTTCAGGTCATGATCTGGCATTTTGAGAGTTGGAGTCCTGCACTGGGCTCTGTGCTGACAGGTCAGAGCCTGGAGCCTGCATCGGGTTCTGCGTGGGTCTCTCTCTGCCCCTCCCCAACCTGTGCTCTCTCTGTCCCTCTCTCTCTCTTTCTCAAAAATAAGTAAACCTTAATTTTTTTTTTTATAATTCTCTTTAAAAAATTTTTTTAACTCTATAGACTTCTAGTAGATTTTTTATAATTTTCTTTTTCATCCCAAGTCAGTAAAAGGAATGGAAGGGGAAAATATTAAAGAAAGAGAGGGTAAAAAAAAGGAAAGGATACAGTAAGGAAAGTAAAGAGAAGAAAGAAGACAGAAGACAGACCACTAACTTTTACTCTTCATTGAACATAAGACCAGATATATGTGTTAAGTCATTTCATGTTCATATTTATAATGGTTGGAAGAATTTCTACTTTGTGATATGTTTACATAAGTGTTTATATTAAATCTTAAGTTTTATATTTTGGAAAAAAAATCAGGTTTCTCAGCATATAGCTTTCACTATTTTCAGTTAAAATACATGATTTGGTTATGCATACTATATATTAAATTAAATTATTCCAAGAGGCTATTTATCCATTTTTTATTTTCAAAATACAATTGCCTTATTACAATTTGACATCATTTTATGCTACTTCATTTTCAATGGCTCTGTTATTAGATCTTCTTACTCCTTAATGATGAATATTTTAAATAATTATAATTATGCATTATGTTCATTCTTTCATTTTCTTCTTCAAATGTTTGCTTGATGTTTATGTTGCTGTTTTAGAGATAAACTGAAAATCAGGTTTTGCCTGATATATAAAATCTTCGAGCGCTGCCTGGGAGGCTCAGCCAGTTAAGCATCTAACTCTTGATTTTGGAACTTGATCTTCCAGTTCGTGAGATAAAGTCCCATGTTGGGCTCTGTACCAAAAGCGCAGAGCCTGCATGGGACTCTCTCTTGCCCTCTCCTTTTGCCCCTTTCCCACTTGTTCTCTCTCTTTCAAAATAAATAAATAAACTTTAAAAAAAATTAAAAAAAAATCTTTGAGGATATGTTTTTTTTTTTAAATTTCCATTGAAATTGGCTGTACTATCTAGATCTGTGTTTCTCAAACTTTTATATGGGAATCATATTGAATGCAGATATGATTTCCCTGTTTGGATTGGGACTAAGTTTCTGCATGTCTAATAAGCTTCATGGTGATGGTGATTTTACTATCCTATGGACTGCATTTTGTGTACCAAAGACTCAGACAAAAACGTGCTGTATTTGAATTCTCATATAAAAGCAATCTCATATAAATGCAATGTGTTTTATACATTGTATTTTTCCTTTAGTCAATTGATTTTTAAGACAGTGTTTTTTGGTGTGTGTGTGTGTGTGTGTGTGTGTGTTCTTTTTTTTTTTCATTTTGTTTTGGTTTTGGTTTTTAATATGGAACACTTCACGAATTTGCATGTCAGCCTTGCACAGGGGTCATGGTAATCTCTGTATCATTCAAATTTTCGTATATGTACTGCTGAAGTGAGCACAAAACAGTGTTTTTCAATATTTAACTGATACTGGATTTGATTTGTCTGATTATTCTTTTGATTAGCAATTTCTCTCTTTTTAATTTTTTTAACGTTTATTTATTTTTGAGACAGAGAGAGACAGAGCATGAATGGGGGGGAGGGTCAGAGAGAGAGGGAGACACAGAATCAGAAGCAGGCTCCAGGTTCTGAGCTGTCAGCACAGAGCCCGATGGGGGCTCGAACTCACAAACCGCGAGATCACGACCTGAGCCGAAGTCAGACGCTTAACCGACTGAGCCACCCAGGTGCCCCTCTTTTTAATTTTTTTAAATTCTCATATGTCTCAAATAAGCATGCAGCAAAAAATTACTCATTATCTAAAATTAAAATTTAACTTGTAACCTGAGTTTTATCTAACAAACATACTTTAATCTCTTTTTTAAAAATTATTAACGTTTATTCATTTTTGAGAGACAGAGCATGACCTGTGGGAGCTCGGGGGGTGGTGGCAGGGCACAGAGAGAAGGGGAGACATAGGATCCTAAGCAGGCTCTGGGCTCTGAGCTGTCAGTACAGAGCCTGATGTGGGGCTCTAACTCACAAACCATGAGATCACAACCTGAGCTGAAGTCGGATGCCCAACTGACTTTTTTGTTCTCCCCTCCCCCACTTTTGCCATGATATAGTGTGTTCTTTATGTTTTAATGCCTTTAATCAGAAGTTCTATTTCATTTATTATTAAGCTGATAATATTCCGTTTCCTTATGTTTGAGTATGACATTTACTTGTCTAATGATCCATGATAATGCATTCTTAGATTTTTGAAGCTATATTGGCCAGTATACAGCATATCATTATTTTAAGTGTGCATAGGCTTTTTTTTACTTTTAATGGTGGAATTTGTATAATTTATGACTTTAGCTATATTGGCTTAAGTTTATGTCATCTTATTTTATTTTTTCTTAGCATTACTGCTTTGCCCTGACCTTATTAGGGTATTATTAGCGTAAACGGCATATTTGATTTCCTTTTATCTTTTCAGTCAATTGGCAAGGTACAAGCTTACTTAAAAGTTATAATGAACTGTAGTATTTTCCTATGTTTTCCTATTCTCAGGTAATCAGAAATAACTTTGGATTTTACTATATTCAAACAAGCAAGTAGTTGTATCCTTTTTTGGGATGTGGGGGCTTCAATGTGTCCCTCCTTTACCTACATTTGCCCATCTCTATCAATTTAACCCCAAATTCAGAAACTCTTTTTCTGTGGTCTCTGTTCTCTTTAAATTCTGTGTCTTCTAGCATTCAATAATTAGTTAGATATGTAAAATATAACCTACCCTTGTTAATGTTTGTCACAATATTACAAAAGATCACATCTCAAAACTAAACAGCAATATATACTTTAAAATAATTCATCCGAGGGGCGCCTGGGTGGCACAGTCGGTTAAGCGTCCGACTTCAGCCAGGTCGCGATCTCGCGGTCCGGGAGTTCGAGCCCCGCGTCGGGCTCTGGGCTGATGGCTCGGAGCCTGGAGCCTGTTTCCGATTCCGTGTCTCCCTCTCTCTCTGCCCCTCCCCCGTTCATGCTCTGTCTCTCTCTGTCCCAAAAATAAATAAAAAAGTTGAAAAAAAAATAAAATAAAATAATTCATCCGAATAACAGAAAGCAGTATCCAGAAATTGTTTAATGAAAACCTTGTATATACTCAAATACTTTAGAAGTCGCGAATGGCTTTTTAATTTTTGTTTACAGCGGTAACTTCTGATTGTTCACAACTTTCTTCTCTGACAGACCTTAAAAGTGCTGTTGCATTGTGTTTTCATTTTGTTACAGTAAGAACTTGAAGCTACTCTGATTTGTACATTGTATTATGTCTATTTTCATCTACTTACACTTACAAAATCATATTTCAATATATTACCAAAAAATGAAAGGATATATCATATACAGACACTGATTTTCCATTGGTCATTTTAATTGGAGCTCAAAGAGTTAAAGTTCTAAATTCAGAACTCATTCCACCAGGTGAAAATTTATTCCACAATATATTTTCAGATGAGTTCCATGAATCTTCTTCTATGTTCTTCCTCAATACATTTAATTGTTCCCATAATAAAGTTCTAGGTTTACCTTATATCAAATATGTATTGTGGTAGTACCTTTATATCTATATAACACCTTGATTGAATTTTCTCTTTTGTCATTTCTGCATTTTACTGCTTCCAACATTACCCTATTAATATATTATTCCATTAATGTATTATGTTTCGGCTTGAAATATGCATCTGTGTGTTCAAATCTACACAACTATTTTTCTCTAATACTCATGGAGCAAGGATTAATATTAGATATTCTTCTTGTTCTATTTTGAGGAAATGTATTTAAGAGATAAATTTATTTCCAAAGACTTATATTCAGAACAAAAATTCATTTGAGCTCTACAGCATTCACATTAGTGTTTATTTTAAACCATCTTCCATAGGGGCACCCAGGTGTCTCAGTCAGTTAAGCATCTGACTCTTGGTTTTGGTTCAGGTCATGACCTCACAGTTCTTGGGTTTGAGACCCAGATCAGGCACTGTGCTGACAGTGCAGAGCCTGCTTGAGATTCTCTCTCTCTCTCTCTTTTTCTCTCTTTCTCTCCTTCTCAAAATAAATAAATTAATTTAAAAAATAAAATGCTTTCTTTAATAAAATGTTTTTAGTTTTAATAAGTTGTCTGTACTGACAGCTGAAAAATTCCTTCATTTACATGATTATATTTGTATGTTTGTGGAAGAAAAAGAGAGGGTTTGAGGCAAATATTGTTTAACATGCTCCAATGTTGAATGCTTCTTATATACTTCATATTAAACAAAAGTGCTACTGCATTGCATTTTCATCTTGTTACAGCAAGAGCTTGAAGCTACCCTGATTTGAACATTCTATTATGCCTGTACCTGTAAGTTACAAAGTCATATTTTAAAATATTACAAGATATAAGAAAATAATTAACAGAAAATTCCTACCAAGGAGTTCAGACAATTCATCATTCCAAGACAGTGTGGAGTTACAGAGATGAGATCAGGAAACGAGGGAAGATCTCGACTATGAGCCTGGCCATTTTTATGTCACTTTTTTTCCAGAGGCTCTTTTATTCCAGAGGCTTCTCTAGAAGTAAGAACAAACTAAGAAGGGATCAGTACTAAAATCATGGCTGAACTTGCAATCATCTACACTTCTAATTGGATTACAGTGATCATTGATTGATGAAATTCCTCTGCTAACTTAATGCCAGAAAAAAAAGCATACATTTGGAGAAAATAGAATCAATAGAAAATCAATGGAAAAAGAAAATAAAATAGAAAGTAGACACTTATATTATTTTTACCTTTTTTATGCATCCTGCTTGAGTTTCAACATCAAATAGCCAGTCAGAAAAGAGAAAGATAATAATAAAGACTGAGAGAGAGAGAGAGAGAGGGAAGGAGAGCGACAAAGACAAATAATAAAAACAGATCTTTAGGAAGTTCAAACGATGAGATTATCAGACAAGCTATGAAATCAATATGATTAATTTGTGGAAGAACTTAAAACACAAAGTAGAAAATTTTGCCATTCAACTTGGAATTGCAAAAAAGAGAAGTAACTGTTTTAAAAAATTACAAAAAGATAATATCTAAAATTAAGAACACTTAAGTTTAATAGCATAATTGACCGAGCTGATAAGAATAGGAGAGCTGTGAGATAAGTCAGTATAATGTATCTAGGCCAGCAGGACAAAAGGAAGGAAAACAGACAGTAGAAAGAAAAATAGAAGATTCAGGAAAAAGGTCAAGCACAGGGGTAACCAAGGGCTAAAGAGGTGAGACTGGGTTGGACTAGAGATATATTTGAGGAAGTCATGACTGATAACCTCCCAAGGTGATGAAGGTCACCATCCACCAATCAAGAAGTCCACACATGTGTGCGGAGTGCACATGCGTGTGCACACAGATACAGTTGGTCAAAGGTAAAGAATATTGCTCCTAGTTTGTATTTCTCAAGACACCACAGAATACACTTTAAAACATTTTCAATCCAGCATAACACACATTGAGTCCACACCTTAACACAGTAGTTTGCCTCAGAACATTTTTGAAAAATTATATTCTTCAAGCAGTCTTATATGGCATAGAGAGAAGGAAGATACACATTTGCTTTTCCAGTAAAATTGTTTGCCAATAACATAATTATTTCTCTCTTTCATTAATAATAATCAGTTCGTTAGCTCATTTTTTTTAATTTAACGCTTAATACATTTTTAATTTTTTTTTAACATTTATTCATTTTGAGAGAGAGAGAGAGAGAGAGAGAGAGAGACAGAGCGTGAGTGGGGGAGGGGAAGAGGAATAGGGAGACACAGAATCCAAAGCAGGCTCCAGGCTCAGAGCTGTCAGCACAGAGCCCAACGCGGGGCTTGAACCCACAAACTGTGAGATCATGACCTGAGCTGAAGTTGGGTGCTTAACCGACTGAGCCATCCAAGCACCCCTGCTTAATATATGTTTTAAAAAACTTATTCATTTTCAGCTAAGAAGTGACATTTAATATGGAAATAACTGCATCTGAAAATTTCTACAATAATATGGTTTTCATCAACCACCTCTTTCAAAGAATTTTATTCTGACCTTCTAAAAATGATTATTTCTGGATACCTATTATAATCTTACATTCAATTACTCTTTCTGTGACTATATTTACCTATTTTTACAAAAGGCTACTAAATATGATGCAGTTAAATAGCATTTCTCATCCGGGTTAAAAATTCAGCTGGTCATATAACTGATCGAAACTTTTGATTGGATCAAATCAGGTCATCCGCTTTGGTTTCTTGTTTACTTTGTTAGTTTCTTTGTTTTTGAAACAGTAATAAACTCAGATTTCAAAATTCAACAATTATTAAAAAGAAAACAACAGGTGCATCTGGGTGGCTCAGTCAGTTAAGCATTGACTTCAGTTCAGGTCATGATCTCAAGGTTGGTTGGTAGGTTGGG